CTGCTGATGTCAGCATTTCTAGTCTCAATGACTACACAGTGGTCTTACTAAAAGAAGTAAACACAGAGTATTAGCTTCTCCCTTACTAATGCTGCTTTCTCTTTGAGTCTTTGGAATAAATAACATTTACTGTACAATTAGCTTTCATCTGCTGCTTATGAATTCTAGTATTTGGAGGGATCACATCACACAGGAGACTGATGCGAGCTCTATTCCCAAAAAAAAAAGGTTTAGCCAGAACAGAATTGATTTGTTTTCAAATAAAATCCATAGATTATAGCGAATACTTACTTCCACTGAGAGCTCTACTCAACTGCTCCATCTTTTCTTTGGCTGTTTTCAGAAGCCGCTGTTCTAACTAGAAAAAAGAAAAATAAATGCAATAAGATAATACTTTTTGGATGAATAAAATAGAAACAAAAATCAGTAAAAACGGCTTGACCCACACCTGGTAGCTAAGTTCATGGTTCTTAAATCTTGTGTAATAGTGCATAAACCTATCAAGCTCTTGGAATCTTCTATGCTTCTTTTCAGCCTGGAAAATGAGGAAACAAGAAACCAGGATAAATTTTATGATTTAACTTAGGAATCACCACTAGGTATAATTACATAACCAAGTGGTTTTATTCCCACTTTTCATGAAGTACTGTACACAGTGCAGATGAGTGCAATGTAAGCAGTCAACTCTAAATTTTGAAATTCATAGGTCTTCAAATACTGTGAACAAAGAGATGAGACACTGTGTGTGCATGCTATTTAAGGAGACTTTCCAAACCCCCAAATTAGGGCATGTCTTCTGTAGTGCAGAGTAGCTAACTGTAGTACCAGCATGCCAATTTCACAAAAGGAAACCATGGCACAGAGAAGTAAAAGGACTTGAATAAAGTCAACTAGTGGTCGTTACCAAAGCCAAAAGCAGAACCAAATCTTTTATTTCTGTCCACAAATAAGCAGTGTTTTCCTTCTGTCTCTTTGATACATTTAAGGTTGTATTTTTCCATTTAGAACTCAAGTTAGGAAGAATGTTGATTAAACTTATCTTGAATGGAAAACTGCAGCCTTAGCACTGTTTTTCAAACACACACACACACACACACACACACACTCATTACCTCTACTGTCATCTCCTTGGACTGCTCCTCTACATGTTGAATAACCTCATAGCGAGTGCATCTGTAATAGCCCCCAGTGGAAGAGCTGTGCTTCTTCCATTCTTCTAAGCATATCCAGCAGAAGTCATATTTGCACTTCAGAAAAAAAGGAAAAGGGGGGGGAAGCTGATATATTGTAGATCTGCATTATCATCATTATTCCTCCATGAACAACTGAATTAATGGAATTCTGAGTGTGCTTACAGTAAAAAAAAATTTCTGAGGAGCCTTCTTCCTATTTTTCCTACTAAAGAACATCTGGGCTATCAAACCATGTCAGTCATAATTTTTGTTCCTTAACAGTTTTTAGCACTATGGAGTTTATAAGCTCTTTTAAAAATCATTTAAGGAAAAAAATGCCAAGCAAACCTGGCATAAACAAAAATGAAAGAGAATCTATTTTCTGCTGCCACAGGCAAAACCAAAGAAATTACACCAAAAAAACCTTCAACATCCAATTCATATCACAGAATATAGGATGGTAATATTAAGAAAATGGGATCTGCATAGCAATGGAGAGAGACTAACACATTTCCAGAAAACTAAACATAGTTACTTTCTAAATCTCTCAGCTTCTTAACTGAAGTCAACTATGTCAAGTGTGTGCTACTTTCTTATTTTTAATGATGCTCCTTGAAGAGGTACTAGCTGTAATTATGTAAGATATTTCTGACAGAAAGAAACAGTATTCTAAATATGCTGCTTCTAACTAATTTGAGGGAAAACATTCTCAAATGATACTGAACTCATGGCAAAAAATATTTTTTCTATTTTGGTAGCATAGTGCAAACTCATGATGAATTTTTTGACTGCTGTCACTAATAAGTTTCTCTTGGAATTACTCTTTGTTGTCTTTTCATTCCTACTGATTAATTCCTGTTAACAGTTTTTCATTTAAACTTCTGTTTCGTTGCTATGCTAGAGAAACAATGCAAAAGAAGAAAGTAGTATGGCAAAATCTTCACTGGATCTTAGCATTGCTTAAAATTTTTCGTCTTCTGCCAACTAAAAATGTTCTTTCTCTTCTATGTTATTAATGATGATTAAACTATCCATTATTTCTCTTTCCTTAGGTTTCATATTGTATTGCCAGCAATTCTTAGGTGTGTATGAAATTTCCATCATCACAGTGTTAGCCTGCCAGCCAAACAGATTTCACTAACCATTAAACATTTCCTAATACACGTAACCCACCAGTCGCAGATTATCTGATGGTTGCAGCAGGTTCCGTTAGGGCTCAGGCATGACATTTCAGGGGCTTTGGAACTCTCTGCTCCCAAAACGTACACATGGCACACACAACCTGAATTATGGTTTCACCACAAATTATATGAAGGGTCTTTCTTACCTTTGCACATTGCATGTGGTTGCAGCCCTCATTCTTCTGAATTGGAGATTTGCAGTTGGCACATGGTTTGGAGTTTGTCAGTAACCACAGGCAGTTGGCAGCATCTTCATATGCCTCACTCACTCCCACAACTTTTGGAAGGTGACAGGAGGATATGGACCATGCAAAAACAGAAGTTGAAATTGTACTTGTGTAATCTTTTGTGAAAATCAGATTAGGAAAGATACATGTTTAATTCTTGCTTGATGGAATATTGTAATTCTTAGCTATATATTTCTCACATATATAAATAGCTACATTTTCCCAATTTATATATTTGATATATAATCTTATTATTTCTATATATTTCCACACCTATTTCTATGCCATTTTATAAGTATTATATAGGACATTCATAATATACAAATGAGCAAATACATATATAAGAAAAATTGGCATAGTTTGACAAAGTATGGTGTATTTTGCCTCTTTATAAAATGTTCTGTGCTTTCCAGAATATTTGTAACGTATTATGGAAAGGCTCTGAACTGTGGTGACCGAGTTAAGTTACTATTTATTCAAATTACTGTTAATCTTTATTTTTTTTTGTTAATGTTGACCAAGAAAATATCTGTCCTGTGTAAACCTAACCTTCAGTACTTTTTTCATTAAATGTTATTTGTCATGAAGCCATTCCCCACAACTCTCTTGCACTTCACCCCCAACCTGCTATTACTATCATCTGTTGGCTTTAATTAGTTTTACAGCACATGAAAACCCACAGGGAGCACAAGTGAAATGGAAGTGCAGACTGGGCTAAGATATTTAAAATGGCTCAGGACAAATGAAGTTATATTCAGGAATAAATGAATGAATTGATGAAACAAAGTTGTAAAAGGAAGGGAAGAGTTTTGTATGCACTGACCGAACCACACGTGGATTTATGGGGAAGAATGGTTTATGAAGAGCAGTCTACCATAGTGCTGCCTAATATGCAGTTGAAGTGTGAAGCAGCCTCTCATTCTGCAGTTTGTTTTCCCCTTTTACCCTATTTTTCAACCAAAGCAGAGTTTTCACTTAATGAAACTAAAAAAATCCCTCTAAAACCAAAAGAGAACAACAAAAAATAATTAATTCCCCACCCCCTGGCATGATTCTTACGTTCTTCTGGTTTCATTTCAGATATTTTCTGTAGCCAGTCCTTCCAGGTTTGGCAGTCACAAGGTTCATGTGCTTCACCAAGACACTCCCTGTAAATGAAAGTTTATACGCAATTGCTTATCATTTAAAGATTTAGATTTAAAGTTAAAATTGGTTCAAGCTAAAAACCACGGAAACTTATAAAGACACACTCAAACTTCAAGTCGGGAAGATAAAAAGCCATTTGATTAGCATTATTTTAAAATGCTCTTAGACTACCTGCTCACAAGCATAGATGACCATCATTAAGACTAATAAAGATTTTAAATGAGACAGGAAAGGAAAAGAGCTTTTTAAAATTACTATCTGCAATAAATCAGCTGGCTTGCAGTTTATTCGAGTTATGCTCAGGTACTCTTTTAGTGCCACAGAAAGAGCTAGTATTGTTTCTGTGATAAAGGTAAACCAGAACAAAACAGATCTCTGGTTTGGAGTTACTTAAGATCTGTAGCTGGAAAAGGCTGCACTGGAACAAATAACTAATCTGTAATAAGGCTACCTCAGGCATGGCTGAAAACTGACACCTTTCACTTCTGTGGGACAGTATTACACTTAAATCATCGACTTCAAGAGAGCCAAGACCTCTCACACACTATTTGTCCCCAGAAAGGACTGAAACTAGCAAAAAATTAACTTTAACAAACTCAGCTTTAAGTTAAAAGCTCATTGGTCAAGCTTTTACAGGTGGGGGGTGGAGGGTGTGTCTTTGATGTTTGCAAACTTGTGAGCTGGTGAATTTTTAATGAAGTGCATTCATATATATATCATCCAGATCTATATCTCTATCTGTAAGACAGTTGCAACAGAGTGTTAACACCTTCTCACAGAAGGAGTTCTTTCCTCAGCCCACCCCAAAACAAGGGTTTTTATACTGGGATGTCATTTTACTACAGTAAGAGCATTGAGCCTATTGCTTATAAAACTTGTTAAGAAATGAGGCTGTATTTTGGGTGGACTCCCTAACAGCACTGGATGAAGGGAAGTAACACCAAATGGCTGTGGCCATTAAGTGTGTCTGTCAGCCTTCTCAGCGCTCACCAGGATGACTTATTTGAAGGTGCAGTATGTACTTAATAAAATCGTAGCAAGTTAAAATTCACAAAAGGGCTTAAAGCACCATGCAAATAGAATGCAGTTCTGGATTTTCTTTCCCCTCATGATAATATTTATATCATATAATGAACTTTGAGTCAGAAAAACAAAGCACTGTTGGAACTTATAACTGACTCCCCCAGCGCACCTGAAGAAATGTCTCTCTCAAAGAACAATACCCCTTGTCTCCATCTAGGATGAAAGTGAGGCCTGATGATGTAAAACCAAGTGTGCAGTGCCTGCTATAACTGTCTTCCAGAAGTGTCTGCTTGCTAAATTTCCTCGTGCTTCTGAAACAACACAAAGGGCTTCCAATACGTTGAATATATCTGATAATACAGAGATGTAGAATTTGTGCATAGTTTTAATTTGTACTACATTGAAGTATCTCAGAATGGTCTTTCTGAAAGGGAATACAATTTTATGTTTGTCACAATAGATTACATTTTGTTGAAGGTGTTGTTAGTGGTGCATAGTTAAAAATGAGAAAATTCTAAGGAAGTCTATTTAAAAGGAACATTCCTACTTCTGCATTAAAAAAAAAAACAAAACCAAAACAACCAAAAAGGGAATTGCTCAATAGACTTGCAGAATTTTCTTGCTGTTATGAGTAGGAAGGCCATAGATTTGAAAAAGCAAGTGATTATCTAGGGGCTGGCTGGGGTTTTCTAATACATAAATTCTAAAGAATCTCTTACTAAATAGAGTACCAACTGCTATTACAATGCCTAAACTGTAGATTACCTCAGTAAGACTTGCAGAACTGTTCTTAAATATGGAGCCGTGGGATGTGTTGATTGAACTTTAAAGATAGAAAGCCAACTCCCTTGAAGCATATAGCAATGATGAAAACCCTCTGAACTGAGAATACACTTTCTTGTTCTCCAGAAGAAGTCATTCAAGCACGGGGCTTTTGTATGGTAAGACTAACATGGCTGTCCTCAGCAAAGGTTCTGATTTATAGCACTGCAGGATGCCTTGGTCGCTAGCAGAACTTTCTTGCCATTGCTGAAACTCTTCAGTCATTTTTATGTGGATTAAAAAAAAAAAGGCCCTGGAAAGGCCTTCTTGGATATTTTGCTGCAAAAATGTGGTATTTTTCAGGACCTTAACTGTAACCTTCTTGTGGAATAGTACTAAGGTTTGTTATATGTTCACTGGTAAAACACATTTCCATGGAATTTCTTTCTTTCTGAGCTCTCCAGCCATTGCAACCAACCTCTTCCCAAGAAGTTCTGTTTTCTGGCTTTAGTGGTTGTTTCATTATGTCTACTTTCCCCTTGTCCCTTCTTCCTTTCCATTCATATGGGGAAAGAACTAAAATCAGAAGTATTTTTCATTGACAGTCCTATGATATTTGGAATCAAGACAACTATTCATGATTTCATCTTCTTGCATCATGTTTTTAATTGAAAAATGAAAAGGATTACTCAGTTTGTCTAAATGCCTGTACTTTGGTTGACCCTTTTTGATTTTCCAACAATGAAAAGGTTGTCCCAATACAACAGTCATAAACTGTCAGTCTGATAACCTCAAGGAACTAGGATGGGGCTTTGCTCTGCACTTCAGAAAAATATCCCCCCACTTTCTTGTTTTTGTTGATACTGTTGTTGCCTTTCCTTGGAAGTGCTGAAAATAGGCAACCTGAGGGATATTTTTAAACTATCTTAGGGCTTTTTAGTCCTTGAGTGTGTATTCATTTTAAGACTCAACGTAAGACAACATAGAAAACGTGCTGATCCTAAAATGAAATAATGATTGGAGTGATCCTGAAAGCCGAATAGCTGTGTATTGAAGCAAAAGGTCCATCACAGTCCTGTTTAAACTCCAGCTTCTTTGATGCGATTCTACTAAAATCAGAAAGGGCTGAAAATTACTGATTTTCTGTACTACAATTCAGAATGTGCCATGTTTTGATTACACTAAAATATGCTTTTAGTTTTGGCTGGGATAGAGTTAATTTTCACCAGAGTAGCCAGTGTGGGGCTATGTTTTGGGTTTGTGCTGAAAATGGTGTTGATAGCACAGGGATGTTTCAGCTGTTGCTGGGCAGTGCTTACACAGAGTCAAAGCCTTTTCTGCTCCTCACACCACCCCACCAGCGAGTAGGCTGTGGGGGCACAAGAAGCTGGGAGGGGACACAGCAGGGACAGCTGCCCCCAGCTGACCAAAGGGATATTCCAGACCATATGATCTCATGCTCAGCATATCCAGCTGGGGGAAGAAGGAGGAAGGGAGGGAGGGACGTTCAGAGCAGTGGTGTTTGTCTCCCCAAGTAACGGTTACACGTGACGGAGCCCTGCGCTCCTGGAGGTGGCTGAGCACCTGCCTGCCCACGGGAAGCGGTGAATGAGTTCCTTGTTTTGCTTTGCACATGAGGCTTTTGCTTTACCTGTTAAACTGTCTTTATCACAATCTATGATTTTTTTTTATTTTTTTTCATTCAATTCTCTCTCCCATCCCACCTGGAGGGAGCAATTGAGCAGCTGCACGGAGCTAAGTTGCTGGCTGGAGATAAACCACACCAGACAACTATCCAAAGCAGACACAAATTCCTCCACCAATATCCTGCTTCTCCTCTGTCCCCTCAGAACAGAAAATCACAACACTCCATACCGCTCTTTTGCATCTAACAGAGCAAATAATGAGTAAGACTGTATTATAAACCTTTGCTGTGCCCCCAAACACTAGAAAATTTGTGCACAGGAGGCTATTTAGTGCATGGATACAGGATAATACAGTCATACACCATCCCATACAAATTTTTGTTGCATACTTGGTGCTAAGTGGCACTTAATGAATCCTTGGAACAGCAGCAACTGGGAGTTTAGGTAGATGTAGGTAAGTTTCTAGCACTCACCAGCAAAAAAGATGTCCTTTTCCACAATCTACCGCAGGGGCTTTTAGCATGGGGAAGTTGAGTGTATCTGATCCTGTTGAATTTGATCCCTGTCTTGTGAGCCTTACTGCTCTTTCACAGCCTGGTATAGGACACCATTTAATAGCAGGATTATTTTCAACGAAGGCCTGGGAGGAAAAAGGAAAATATTTTACCGCAAAAGATCAGATTTCATTGCTGATATAAAACAATCTTATTCAAAATCTTCCTTTGAAGGAACAAAACCAAAAAGCATAAGGACAATCTTGTAGCTACTTTGATAGGCTTTTAAAAATAGTTATAAAAAGCAAATAATTTAATCGTCACTGTAAAAATGTCCCATTGTCATGGGCTGATCCAGACTGCACTG